CCAATGGATTTAAAAATATAATATCAATTCTTTATCGATTTAAAAATATTAATATGTAGAGTTTCTACAAATTCTTATTCGAATTATTTGTTTTATTCGTTTTATCATTCTTTTTATTCGTTTTTATTCATTACATTCATAATATTCGTTTTATTCGTTTTACTCGAATGCTCAAGCATCAGGAAAATAAATCTCACATAGAGTTCAAAATAGACTGGCATTATGCAAAAGTGTTGCTAGAATTACCAAGATATCGACATAATGCCGGCAAATTTTGAATCCTGTGTAGGTTTACGCAAGGTTTATTTTCCTGATGAAATTCATAACGAATAAAACAAATCATTCGAATAAACCTTGTTCGAATAGAATGTGACATTAAAAAAAATTTAGGAATCCAGTTTGAACCGAACCGAGTCATAGAATGAATCGAATCACTTTAAATTCTTACTCGATTCGATTCGTTCGGAACCTTACTCTGATACCTTTATAAATGGAGATACTGTGTTACTAATTATGGAACAACTAGTTTGATTGGTAATGGTTGATTGATTGAAATTATTGTAAATTATTTGATTTGTACATTTATATCATTAGACTGAAAGAAAATCAGTATATCCTCCTAACAAATAAGCTTATAACTCATTCAATACAATTGAAGCCATCTAATATAAAATGATAATTATCAATACATATATCCCTTATTGGAAGCACGAGGAAGTGAAAATCAAATTCTCCAAATTGCTAAACGAAACTGTGCTTATTTGGGGAGGGGGGTGAGAGGAGGAATTTTCAAGTAAAAAATATTAATTATTACTAAATAATTAGTACAGAATCGTTGAATTAATTTGATTTTTATTATAATTATAGTTTTAAAACCTAAAAGCCCACTCCATAACTTTAAAAGCTATTACAAGATAGTCTTTTGGCTAATGCTTGATTATTTAATATTAACAAGTATGGCCAATTACGGCATAACTTTTGGGCCACCCTTGTCAGTTAATTGCAAGCAATTCAGTGCTTGTCAATTAATAAGTCATTTACATTTATTGACCGATTGCAAACTCATTTTTGGGCTTATTACAAAACGATTTAAGCAGCATATTTAATAGCCTCACTCTTACAATAACAATAACATCAGCAGAATTTCAAATTAACCTTTGGACAATAATTTATTAACATCACCAACGTCAGCACTAAACCTTTGCTTACTCATTAAACACAGATTTTTACCAATGCTTCACAACTGTTGCCTTTACCAGAGTGCTTAAACTGAAAAGCAATATCGCTGTTTTTATTTTCCCGTAAATATAAAGGTTATTGAGACAATTGTCTTATTGTATTGCTCTTCAAGAAAAGACAGTAATTAAACTTATGAAATGCTTATGAGAATGATTTCAATAAAAATTATTTCATTTAAGATAATAACAATTTTAAAATTATTATTATTGAGTATATTATGGTCAATATCAAGGTTGACGACGAAAATATTTTGGAGTGTAAAAATATTTCGTCAAACGGGTTTGAACAGTACTTTCATAAAGTTTGACAAAAGAGCTTGGGCGTTTTGTTTTTTGTTTATTTCATTGTTTCATTGATTGTTAATTTCATTCATAAAATACGAGGAATAGAATAATGACATTAAGGACATTCATTAGCTAAATGAGATTGAGTTTAAAAGGTGTTCCACAATTCCAAGTTTTTTGGAGAATATTTGAGTAATATCCTTTTACTTTTCCATGCATCAGACACAGGACATCCTGGAGCTAATTCTTGGTTATTGTTAAATGAATTTTCAGATATATTATCTAAATTGAATGCTTGTGAATTCATATTATATGATGACAATTGATAAGGAATCTGTGAATTAGAATTTGACGTCATGAATGTTATTTTTTACTTCTTGAACCCAAAAATGTAAATAATTTAAATCCACAAAATAATTTGGCTTATTTGTTATTATTATTATTGTTGATTTCGTCATTTTCGTCAAATTTCTCAAATTCCTCAAAGTGTGGAAATCCTATTTCATCACATTTGTTTTCGCCATGTGACGAAAAGGAGACATTTCGTCACTCAACCTTGGTCGATATACAGCTTCAATATTACTATCGCTACCGATATAATTATGATTATTACCATTACGAAATTGATTTAATTCTCTATCACCACCGACAACATTATTAATCACTTCATTTGATTTATTTTTTCTTGTATATAAAACAAAAACAAGAACACCAATAACTGGTCCAACAATTATAGCAACATTAAAATTACCATTTTCATTTGATGATTCAGATAATTATTTATTTTTTTTTCATCCACCATGTAAAGCGAACAAACTCTCAATTTTCAAGACAATGATAACTGATTGAAGATCAACTGGTCTTGTTGTATTACACCCAACACCATTGAATTTGCATTTTCAAATAATAGAGTTGAATAATGTAAGTGAAGATTATTTACTGCAGAAGGGTGGAATCTTAAATCTTGCCAAGACTCGCTTGTATTTTGATCGAGTTCTTCTTATAAAATTTTTATAGGGCCTCTTCTAAGTGATTTCGGAATCAAAAATTCATATTCAATTTCAACTTCTATATCATTGATATCAGCATTAAACATTGATTGGCTATTATTTACAGCCATATTTATTAACTGATTACTGGTTGTAGCCATTCCAGTATTAATTGTCTAATTCATGGTAGTAATGATAATAATAATGCCTTAACTATTACTATTGTTACTACGTACGTATTATTTCTATAAGATAAGATCTTGAGTTGAATGATTCTTGTGGAGAAAGTTGGTTATGATTATTGGTGGATTATTATTCGTGACCATAAAATCCTATTAAGATAGGAAAAAAGTTAGATTTACAGTACATTACTTTGTAAATGATAAACTACGATTGCATTATTGTAAATTGTCACTCATATCAATATCATCACCATCTTGTATTAAAGAAAAAGCGGGCAAATGAAAATAAAATAAAATAGATTTTATTAGAACTCTGTAATTAGAATATAATAATAATATAGAGATTAAATTTCTAAAAACAAAAAAAAACCTTGACTATTTGTTTATTTGTTTAATGTTTACTATTGCATTTAGATTATTTTCCAGCGAGTTAATTATTTCGTTGTGTCGATTAAAAGTGTCATGCCGAGTGTTGATAAAATTGATCCGAGCAAAAATAATTTTAAAGATTGGACTTGCACATCTTTAAACTTATGATTTTAATGGTAGAAATCGAAGTACTTATAAGAATCTTTTCGTCGTCATCACAATATAAATTAAATTAACAAATTTCTCTTAATAAACTATAATGACAACAATGACCACAGGCACTATTCTTTTTAATAATTATAACTAGAGTGACAAGTGGCGATAACCATTATAACCACTATTCATTAAATAATAATATCACTTACCCAGATGCTAAATTGTCTCTTTCTTTCCCTTTGGTTCTCTTATTTGCTAATCCAGAATTCTTTTTTTTTTTTTCAAGCAAAAAAAAAGAATTGATTGATTGACGTAAAGAAGCCTTATTACTATTGTTGTTATTATTGCGAATTATTTGACGAAAAGTGATGTTAGTTTGTTTGGTATGGTTTTCCTTAAGAAGACGAATTATTTGTCAAGTTAATAATAACATTTATTAAACTTCCAAAATTACACAATGTGTATTTTTAACTTTTATACAAGGTCGCCCAGGATTAAGTAATGCCGATGATGTTAATATATATCATCATGTTTAATTGCAACGTAACAATCCTTGAAAATCGTCATTTCCACACCTGACGTTTTTCCACTCTGCTACTATAATTGGTCCCTTTCTACTTGTTTCACACCTAATTTCTGAGCATGTCATACTAAGCATCGGAAGTTGACTAGGAAGTTAAAAGTAGCAACTTGAAAATTCAAAAATAGTGCTCGGACAAAAATATCTGATGTCCAATTTATAACAAGTCACAAAAAATTTATATAAGCTTATAGCTTAGGTTCCAAAGACTGTGTGTCAAAACTTGTCACAGCAGACTATAATCAAATTCTTGACATAACATATTTTTAAAAATTTTGCCTCATATTCACATATAAAAAATTTCTTATGTGTCCCGTTCACCCGCTGTGACAAGGTTTGAATGTATATAATAATAAAACCTTACGTTTTCAGATTTTCTAGAACTTTTTAACAATTAAAAACAAAAGAAATTCAATTATTTATGAAAAAAAGAAAAAATCTTGAAATCTTTGTTAAGGGCCATTGAATGTTGACAGAATAATTCAATGAATGGATAATTAATAATCCAATAGACATGTTCTTTTTTATGGCTTGATGAATGGTTCAGTTAGTAGAAGTTCTATTTTACACCAGTTTTTTTGGATAATTAAGAACTTTTGACGATAAAAAACATCCCAAATCATTGGATTTGAACATGTATATCAGTCACTACTATTAAAATCTAGTTACAGCTAAAATCTAGCCGTGGCTAAAATAAAGCTTCTAGTTGCAGCCATGGCTAGTTGACTAGCAACGCCACGACATACCTTTATACCCTTATTCCAGGAATAAAGTTTTGTTTAGCCTTTGGAGGGATATATGAGGTATATCCCTTTTATCAATCTTGTCGATTTACAGGCATTGGTTGGGTAACTCACTCTAAAAGATTGACAGATAAAGACATATATATTTGTCTCTCTAAAGGCTAAAATTTCATCCCTGCAGGTGTAAGGATAAAGGTTCGGATCTTTCAGAAATTGTCTGCATGCGGTGTTGTGTTGTCTCATTCAAAAAAACACATCTTTGTCAAAATTATTCTTCAAAAAAAGGAAATTATTAGCAGTCATATTAAAGTGCACAGCCATATATTATTAGCAAACTAATACGTAGTCAGTAACTTTACATATAATTTATATAAATAATAAAATTTTGCTTATTAAAATTTTAAAATTAACATGATTTTATTAAACATGTCGTTCTTTAGAATACAAATGTTCATAATCTAACTCAAAATCAAATAATCAATTGAAGTACTATTCAAAGATTTTGTTGAGAAAGACTCGTCAACAATTGCACTTGAAATTGGAGCAACTAAAATAATTTTTATTAAAGTAGAAGTGGAAGAGCAATCAGAAATAAAAAAAAAATTGCGAAAAGATTTTTTGATAAAACATAAATTTTGAAAATTTTTCAAAAAAGTTTAATTCACTTCTCAAAGTCTTTTTTCTAATAATGAACTATCCGGTATCACCTTGCACTTTTTTTAGTTTCATAAAAATCACATAAAATATTGATCTCTTCTTCATCATAATCTATAAGATCTTTATATCTATTGGTGGTTGTTGCGGATCGTATAACCCAATATAACTCTTGATCTGGGAAACGATAATATCAATAGGAGTATAGAGCGTGTTGTGGTATTTTTATCCTTGCTTTAAGTTTTTATAATGTAATAATTGGATCATGCAGGAAGATATTTTAAATGTCAGTCTTGCCTGATATTTTTAACCCGTACAAGATCCAATTTTTTCTTCAATTGTAATCGTTATATAATAAATTATTAATATTAAGTGGGAAAACTCGAAATAAAAAAATCAGCTGAGAGGTTGATTTTCCTAGTCCAAATCCCAATTGTTAAAGTAATTATTAACTTTGAAAGAATTTCTTGACAATGTTTGTCTTGATATTTTAACTCTCATGTTTATATAATCTCCAAAAAACAAATAATAATAATCAAATGTTTCCGATTAAATTTAACTCGTGGATGTTTTTTTAATTCTCTTAAGACAAATCTGCCGAATCTAAATAAAACTAGCTAGAAGACCTCAATACTTTTAAAATGCGTTGTGACATTCCAATTTAAGGATTTTATTTTTTTAAAATGCTCAATTTCAACAAAATCTACACCTTTTAATCCGAATAATACTAATACTAATACTAATAATGAATAATACTTCTTCCTTCAACAATACACCTGTCTTATTCTTCTACCAACACCAATACTACTAATAATAATAATAATAACAAGACTACCAAAAATTTCCCTTCTTTTCCTCCCTCCAACACTTCCAACATTACCAACACCACCTATATTATCATCATCATCTCTTCTTCTACCATTACCACTAGTTAGCTCTCGAATTATTTCATACTCCATGCTCTTCCCATCATCCCAAATTAGTTTGTAGTGGGGAAGCGAAAGCATATGGAAGAGTTATTTCACGCAAAAGAGCAAATCACTATTATCATCGTCGTCATCGTTATCATCATTATCATTGTCATTGTCATCATCATCACCGTCACCATCACCACCATCATCATCAACACCACCAGCAGCAAGCAGCAAGCAGCAAGCAAGAGGCAAATAAAATTTTTATAAAATTTTTTTTGATATTGATTATTTAATTAGTTCCAATTAGGTATTTTGAAGTTCGAAGAATTAAGTGTGCTGCCCATTGTCATAATCTTGGATTGAATCAACATGTAAACAATTAAGAATAGCTGAAATAATTAAAGATAGAACCAATGTAATAGTAAAAATTAATTTCTATTGACAATTATATACATTAATATATATTGCTTATTAACTGTTGTCTTTACCTTTAAAAGAGATTTATTTTATTAATAAATTTGTTGCTTATTTTTCGGTTCTCCTTTACGATCCATAATTATTATTTCCTTCCACATAAATACTACACTCCCATTCAATGATTGAGTTGGTATAATTTTTTTTATCTGTACATCTTCTCCATCTGAATATTTAATTATGTCTCTCTTCGAAATGACAAACGTTGGAGAAACATCTCTATCAAATTTGACATCCATAATTACCAAAAAACATGGTAGCCAAGAATGGCTTCTGCGAATTGCACAAACGTAATTATAATTAATTACAAAACTAAAACTATGCAGTATTAATATCATTTCTATTCCTTATAACAAATATAAAGATTTCGGTTGTGATTTTAAACATATCCAAACCAATTAAGTGGATTATAACCACCAACTATTTAATGTTGGGTTTTGTTGACGAATTATCACATTTTTGATGAAATGTAGTTGCATTTAAACCACCAAACCATCTCTACTACTATGATATAAAAGTTTAAATCTCTACTATTATGGTAATCTATACTTGTCATCTCTCAATGAAGTATATGGTGGACTTTTTTTATCCATCCAACTTGCAAAGAGTAATATAACCTTTTCATTTCAACTATTTTATGTTGATTATTCATTATCCGTTAAATTGACAATTTCATCCACCTTTTCTGAAGTAAAGAATATTGGTTAAGGTTAAGTCAATATACATTTTGATTGATTTATTTGATTGATTTATTTGATTGATTTATTTTTTAATTAATTTTTGATCTCCAGAAAGTGGACAAATGGTTTTAACTTATGGTTTCTTATTTGTAAAGGTTTTTTTTTTAAAAAAACATCAACTTTTCATAACATCCAATACAAACAGTCAGAAGGACCTTTGTTTTGTGATACAACATTCATTATCTTGGTTACACTATTTTTTAAAAAATCCTTTCCCTTTTCTTATAGCGTGAACATGGAATTTTCACGAATTTATATAACCTTTACGTCATAGTTTATATAAAATTGGTCAGAGTCCTGAGGGATCTTTTGTTGGCATAATCCTCATATCTTGTTGTGCAATTGTTTTTTGACTTCATGATGATGTAATTATTCCGATTTTATCATCAATTTTTATAAATAATAATGATTAGAAACCGATTATAAAATTGCAGATAAACTAAATAGTAAAATTGACAAACTTTATATATATCTCGTATTTTGGCCAAAACTCCGAGTAATTTTTTTAAGTGATAAACAAATCAATTTTATCTGTGCTAGACAATATATTTTATTGAAAAAACTATTTTTATGTAATGATGTTAGCCTGCTAAGAGTTGTTCAGCTTAGTCGGCTAAGGTTTTTCTATAGGCTAACATCGCTATTTTTATGGCCTTTTTTTTATATCAGAAATTTTTATTATCATCCAAAATTCGTGGAATGTAATTGATTTTGCCACAAAACCATAGCCAAAAGCAAACCCCAAGGATTAACAATTCATCCATAAGCGAGTAAATTTCGTCCGAGGTCGCGATTTGCAATAAGATACGATCGGGCGATAGATGAGCATGGCAAACGGCATAAATCTTCAACGTATCGCCCATAAGTTTTTGTTAAGAAAACAATAAAAGTAATCCAGGAATCAATAAAAGAATTAAAAAACGAGGAGGATGAGAAGATACTAATATTGAATAGTAATAATATTATTAATAATAAAAAACGATCAAAGGATAGGTAAGGTAATAACACATCAATGGTTTCCCACGCAATTGCTCTGTTTTATTCTGTATATAAATAATTATGTATTTTTCTATATCTTGGTTGAATGATATAAATAAAAAATGATTTATCTTTATGATCCTTTCCTTGAGCATGAATAACTTTGTCCTCGCTGTTGTATCATGTCTATTACAATATTCATGATGACAAAGAATCTTGTATAATTACCCATCACCATATAATGTAGACGACACAACAAGTTTGCTCCATGTTTTGATTTTTATATGATATTTAGACTATTGTATAAGAAAAAAGAAGTACATAATTTCTAAGGTTGTACAATGTCAATAAAAAAAAACCAATTACGAAAGAAAAAAACGAACCAAAAATCCTTTGTTGAAGAGGAGAAATACTATTAGAGGAAGAGAAGTCTGCAAACCATTAGTTCAAGCTCTGGTTAAATTTTTTTTTTTATAAACTTTATTTGGAAAAATAATAATTATGAATGGTCAAGAGAAGTAGAAATGTTTTACATGAACGAATTTCTCTTAACACACGATGAATTTTCTACCCATAAAAGTTTAATAGATTCTTATTCTTTAAGTTCCTCGCAATGCTTCACTTCCAAATACCATATATAACTTTTTTCCCTTTAACTAGAGCTTTATATTTGTATGGGATAACTTTTTAAAGTACCGAGATATGTGCACCATAATTCTTGTTTGAGATAATTATATTTATTGCTCAGATCTCAACAATGAAGAAGACAAATTAAATGAGCCATTGAGAACTTTGCAACAAATTGATAATAATTCACTTAATCAAGATTCAAATTTTATTGTTATGTTAAAAAATATTTTTATTTGGGAAACAAAAATTTAGGTAAACGATAAAAAAGTCGAATTCAAAAAAATATTTTGCAGCTTTTCTATACTAAACAAAAAATGCAAAACTAAACTAGAACGAAATAAGTTTATTAATTAAAGATAAAATTCAATAAAATAAATTGCAAATTTAATTAATTGATTAATGTGGAACGTAAATGGCCAATTAATTGATTAGTAGTTTTATGCACATCCGAAGTCGCTAATGCATGCTAGACTGTAACATTCCCCAGGGTTACTAAGGTCACAAGGTTGACCACGAGTAAGACATGCCACAGTTGTAGTGGTTGTGGTGGAGGTGGTGATGGGAACAGTTGTAGTGATTGTGGTGGTAACAGTTGTGGTGGTTGGTACAGTTGTGGTGGTTGGTACAGCTGTAGTGGTTGGTACAGTTTTAGTGGTTGTGGTTGTAGTGGTAACGCATACAGATACAGTTCTTGTCTTGGTCTTGGTCTTGGTCTTGGTCTTGGTCTTATAGCATTTAGTCTTGGTGATGGTTTTGGTGTTATTGCAGTATCAGTAGTGTGTTTCGATATTTAATGTCAATAAGCAAAAAAAAATAACGAAAAGAATTTTTATGAATGTAGAAAAAATGCATTATGTGGATGATGGCTTGCTAAAATTAAGTGATTGTGGGTTTATATTATCTTTTAATATTAAATCCTTTTTGTAATAGTGAGGTAATGGTAACGAAGGAACAGGTCATATATATTATACGAACAATAAATTTTTTTGATTGGTGCTGTGATGACTTCACGTATTCTTATTTATATATTAGAGATGTGCCGCGCATAGCGTGCTACGCATAAGGTTTTAGATATATTTTTTAGACATTTACTAATAAACACTTTTTATTTTGGTAATGAACGACACAACAACAAGCACACCAAAGAGGATGAATTCAAAAGCTTGGCGCGATCTGCAATGAATAAAAAAGACTAATGATACTGAAAATTATTCTGTCAACAATAAGTCGATTGAAAGAACTAGAGTTAAAAAAACGCAATAATTAATCAACACACAGATATAGTTTGAACATATAATAAAAAAAATTATTTAATGTAAAAATTTACTATTAATAATTGATGATCAATATTTTTATGTTAATTCAATCGAATAAAATCACATTCTTATATTGTATTAAAGCGGACAAATTTTATTTTTAAAATCGATTTATTGGTTCAACATTTAATCAGAATGAGGATTCTCAATACGCAATACGTCATGCATGATGGTAAAAGACTATTTCACTATAGATAGACAATATAGAATTTTGTAAATTCACCATAGCCTTTCATGCTTTAAAACTAGTAAACAGTAATAATGAAAATAATTTAAATCTTCATTCGTTAGAAAAATTTGACAAATCAATGATTTTAACTCGGAGTAATATTCACACACACACACATATATATATATATTAATATATAAATATATGTTTCCTTATTTTTTATTGCAAATAATAAAATATACAACAAACAAATAAATATAATTGATTAATTATTAAAATTAGGAGTATTATCAGAGATTAAATAAACCCTATCATCATTTCTAAGGATTGTAACGGTTTTAGGATTGACATAAATGTATCTTAGATATCCACCTTCATGTTGAGTAAGTCTGTAAAGTCCTAATGGTACAGCTTTATGTTCTTTAATCAGGAAATTAAAAAATAAATGATATTCCTTGCCTATATAATATTGTGAAAGAGAGAAATAATATAATTAATTATAATATATAAATAAATAATCATAATATTGTTATTATTAAAATTAATCTTTTTTTACCAATAAATGAAGAAGGAATATCAATTTGATACATGTGACCAGAACTAATTTTCAAACTTTGCCATTCATCATCTTGAGCATTATTGAATTTTGGAGTTGACATTTTATTATAAGGGTCATGACTGAATATAAGACGTTTTACGATAGCTGGAATATATCTATTATAAAAACTAATTTATATAATCATATAAATTTTTTAATTAATTGGTTTATTTTTTGAATATTTGTGATAATTTATTTATTTACTTGCCATTGACAAAGTAAAGTATCTAAATTGCTAGGCGTAAATACATTTCCACTTATAAAGGATGGTCGCAAAAGTGCTTGTACTGTGATAATAATAATAATAATTATAATTATAGAGAAATTATTATTATTAATTAATTAATCCATTTGTTCATTCATTAATTAAAGAAATATTTTACACTACCATAATCATCTTCTTCATTTTTTACAGAATCACTTTCACCAATCATCTTAAATGTTTCACGATAAATACACTCTACAACCACAAAACATTCTTCATTTGCTGCCATGGATTCAATATTCAAAGCAATCATTATCGAGACAGCGTCTGCAGTTCCATTAGAAGCTCTATATGTATGTACGTATGTGTGTGTGTGTGTGTATATATATATATATTTAATTATATATATTATTTAACTTTTTCTAAAATTCATATTTTTAAAATTTAACCTACTCTTCATATCTACAGGAATCACTTAATACAATACATTTATTTGCATAATTAACTCTCGCTTTATACAAATCTTTTCTTCTTAAAGGAGATCCATTAATAAAATGGACAGGATTAAATTTTGACAAAGACCTTTTTTGGTAATCATCGGGTTCGTTGGGAGATAAGATAACTATTGGTGAATGTTTGGTGGAAGTTTTTTCCCCACGGAGAACCATCATAAAGATGTCAAGATTAGCAGGAAAATTTTCACTATAATTACAAATTAAAACATGATCTTTAACATGCGGAATTTCTGATTTTTCATTGAAGCAATAAGCAGCTGCATTGTCTATATTATTTTGTATTATTTCTGAATCAATCACATTTGATTGCAAATCCGATGGTTCTCCACCGTCATCAATGTCATCTCCAGTAGCTTTAATTTTTAATTTTGTATGATCTAAATTATTTTCAGTTTGAGTATCATCATTAATATTTCTACTTTCACCGTTTTTCTTTGCAAATAAATCATGCGCAGACTGAGTTATAAAAGATAAACTCGTGTATTTGTAGGGAGTTTGAACATGTTCAACGAATCGAGCCATTTTAATAGTTATCTCAGCATTATCACAAATCACAAACCCAATCTCGTTTCCTTCTATAACATAATCTTGTGGATTTAAAAATATTTGAAATGGTGAGGCGTTTGGTGGTAATTGTTTAAATGATTCCTTGGAACTTTGTGTTATTCTGTAAATTCCAATTGAAAATAAAACTGCCCCTAATCGGTTATAAACTAGTTCTGAACATTCTAGAAATGTTTTACCAATAAAATCCTTTGGGAATGTTACAGCATAAATTTCTTGATTAATCCCATTAATATATTCAAGTGCCCAATGCAATCCTATTAATCAATCAATTAAATATATATAATAAACATATTGTAATGATTATCATCATTATCAATTATGCATTTATTTTATTTACTCTACCTTGTTTCTTTTTTGCACTAGAAATTAAATTATTTGTTACTTTTTTAGTGACGGAAGTTGTCAACAATACAATGAGTGAATAGAAACCAGGAATTATTAAACTTTGAGCCATTAACCCCATTGCTATTTCATCTATACAAATCACATCATTGGCTAATATATTTTTGGAGAGAAAAAGTTAAAAGATTTATTAATAATTTGTGAGAGAAAAAACCTACGAGTAGAATTTTAAGAATATTTAATCACCCAAGAAATCAAAATGTGGCACATTTTCAGGTAAGTGAATTTGAGCATATAATGGTATTTTATTATTATATTTCTTAATAGCCTTTGAATTAAATAAATAGCAATAAGTAAATTTTCTTTTTTAAAAATAAAATAATTTATCAAAATTAAATTACCAATGTTCTTAATATTTGTGCTGCATCATCTTCATCATCATTTTTAGAAAATTTTTTAGATAATATAAATACTACACTGGCGATATCAAGCCTAACTTTCTCAAGACTTTGACGTGAAGTTATTGACCTGTGAAATATACAGGGTATTTTTTACTTTAATTGATTGATTTATTTAATTACTTAATGAATTAATTTAATTTCATCTTTTACAATTATTATTCTATTTTCTCAATTATCTCATTTACCCTTTGACATATTGTACTCTGGTGGTAAACGCAGGATCCTCTAACAATAATGCAATATCATCTTCTGGCTATGAGATAAATAAATTGGTAGATAGAGTTAGTTGGTTTACTTTTTTTTCCAATACAATTCTTCATGCTTCATTCTTTTCCATATAATTTTCTCCCTTCTCCTATTTTTTTCAATTAATTACCTCTTCAGGATTTAACACAACAACTTCAGTATTCATTGTATCCAAACCATGATCTTGACAAAAAAATTCACGTAGAAATTCGTACAGACTGGTCCCATCAAAATCTCCAGTGACAAGGATATGCTTCATATTAAATTCAGGTTTATATGGACGAGAATATTTTGATCTTTGTCTAATAAGATCAAGAAGTTCTGATAAGTTTGAGGGAAGAAATACTGCTCCTGCTATCATAACATATAATATCACAATTCGAGTAAAGGTGTTATCTGGTACTATATCTGTTGACATTCCATTTGTACTAGATTACGTGTATTATAAATATATAATATATATATATATATATATATATATATATAGTTATTGATAGAGAAGAAATATGTGTGTCTGAGAGATATTAACTTTATAATTATTTACCAGCTCACTAATATGAAAAAAAAATATTAATTGGTTAATTTGATTGATGATTGATTAACTAATATAATAGATGAATAAAACAATTATTTGTTTTCAGAATTTATTTACCAACTGTAAAAAAAAAGGTATCCATAAAACTCAAATGTTCAACATTATCATGATGTCCATACTGTTTATAAGTTACAATATGAATGAATGCAGTTATCGTAAGAAATGTAAATAAAATAGTGGTCACTAAAATGTTGTTGTTGTTTGTTATTTGGGCGAAAAGAAAATTTTTGAATTTTATCTTGTATGGATTTTTTTTAAATATGAAAGGGACAAGAACAACAACTTACATAATTGTGCAGCCTTCCTTGTAACTGTATCTAGATTGAATAATGAACTTTTAACGGGGATAAAAAATAATGACACAGACCAATGAAGTCTAATAAACCTCATTGGATAAATATAAACCTAATAATAAGAATAATGATAATAAATAATAAAATGGTTTATTATTATTATTATCTAAAATTTAAATTTTTTTCTCAAATAAATTATCTACCAAAATTCCAGCTCCCATATAAGTATTGTCAATTTCATCATCAAATATTGTTATAAAAGAGGCTGCAATCACTGGAAACACTGATAGCCAAGTAAGCACCGAATAAACACTGATAAAACTTTGTAGAGGTTCATCTGCAAGCCAAATGTGAGGAAGATATTGAACTAAAATAATACAAGCAATAATTAAGTCTGCATTTTGATAAATTCGAGGATATGGTATCGGGTCCTGGTCGATCTTTACATATTGTGTGTTCTTTGCATGAAGGAAGGAAGAAAAATTTGGACATTAGAAAATTATAATTTCGTAAATTTAGTAAAAACTAAGAAATTTAGAATTTACCCAAATATATAAAAAGACAAATGTCATTGACATGATAACATCAAATAATTCCCAGAATCTTCCTTTTTTTGAAGTATCTAAATCAAACTTTATCCTTTTTTTCAAGCTTGGTTTCATTCCAGCTCGTTCAATGAATTTTCGCTGCTCCTGCATCCAAGCCTCATCAAATTCATCATAATCACCACCAGGACCCTTATGAACTGGTGGTATTAAACTTGGCATTTTACTTATACTATTTGTTTTCTTTTTTTCATTTTTCTTTTTAGTTGTAAATGTTAAACTTTTTGGTTTCATGAATACACCTCTCCGATGTCTATCTTGTTGTAATTGTTGTAGTTGTTCCGGGTTGGCGCTGTAGCCGTTAGCATCGGCATTGGAGGAACCATTGCTACTATTATTTAATAATGGCGTATTTTCATTCATTTTCAAAAAAAAATAATTGATAAAGTTTGAAATTTTAACAAATTTTTATTTTACAAATTTATTTTTTAAAGGAATAAACACATTTCGGGTTTCTTTTGATTGATTATCTGATAATTTCACACCGAATTGTAATATCAAAAATAATCTCACAAATGTCCTACATAACATATTGTAAAATTCTAAATATAGATAAATTTCAAAATTTATATATTGATGTTACGTTAGATCGGAAATTTTCATTACATCATAATAATAACAATAAAATTATAACGGTAATAGTAAGTATTTTTTTTTTAAGTACTAGTATTAAAATATCCAGCCCACCGCCCATGGCTCTAAAAATCCCGTGCAGTAGAAATATACAATTATCTTGACATCTTGCTAATTAAACCAACTATTTAAAGAAGTTAATACTATATAAATTTAAGGTTTTGTTATTGTTTAATTTTGGATATTATAACACAGTTGATACGATTCATTGAACTGACCTTTAACCGCTCTTCTTAATCGGCCTTCTTTTAACCAGTTTAGAGACCACATTTAAATACTGGTCATTCGGTCCGTCTAATACTATTACTACCTGTAATTATAGTGATTTATCAAATAACTTATTAGACAAAATAATGTATTCATCAAAAAAGAATATTATAAATATTGTTTTCACCAAGTCTATTTCTTTTTTTTTTTTGTAGATAAATTCCCAGCTGACGAAAACGAACTCTCAGATTGTACTGAGTTTGCCGGTATTGCCAAGTAAATTCTTGTTTTGAAATTGAACTTGAACAGGAAAGTAGATTCAGATCTATTTTGATAATCTCCATTTAAAAAAATTTATAAAACCTTTCATGATCAAAAGGTTTGCCACAAATATTATTACCTTCTTTATTACCATTATCATCATCTTTTATTTTGCTACGAGTATTGTGTTTTTTTCTCAGCCGGCTGACATCGTCGTTAATATGTAGGTAGAAGCAAGATGTGAATTTAACTCTACAACAGTTCTTAACCACTCTTTCTATCCAATAAAACTTCTCGATATAATCCCAGACAGAAGATATGCAGCAAAGAGTGCCAATATAATTTTTAATTTTCTGTATGGCGATTGATCAAAAAGTCCAAATAATTCTTTTCCATCATACTTTCAACTTATTGGTCAGCGTGCTTCCTTGAAAATATATTAATTAATATATCAATTTGACATTGTGTATATCAATTATTGATTGGCATATCAAAGATTGTTTTGTAAAAAAAAAAATGGATAAATAACCAGGCCCTGGGAAGCAGAGTTTGGCAATGGACAATGTCCAATGACCTTTTCATTGGATCATTGGACCATTGGACATATGTGTCCAGGTCGTCCATTCAGGGGTAATTTTTGCGCAGCTTTGTTGGCAATGGACAATGTCCAATGGTCCATTCATGTAAATCATTGCCTAAATAAAAAATTTAACTTTTAAAAATTTTTTTTTTCCAATTTT